TCCACACCCTAATAGCGTTCCTCGACTTTGAGGGCGCCTTCAACAACGTCACTCCGGCAGCCATAACTGGAGCTCTGCTAGGACTGGGGATTGATACCGATACGGTGGGATTGATCAGTCAATTGCCCACTTGCAGGACTGTGATATCCACACTAGGGTCGTCCACTCTCTCCAGGTTCGTAAGCAGAGGTACGCCACAAGGAGGCGTCCTGTCACCCCTACTATGGATCATAGCAATTAATAATCTGCTGTGGAACATGGAGGGGGGCGGCTGCCAAATAGTTGCATACGCAGATGGCGTTGCTGTAATTTTCATGGGAAAATACCTACAAACTCCCTGTGACCTCATGACTAGTAAACTAAACATACTTTACAGGATAAGAAACTGGACTGGAATCTAAATATCCAATCACGGGTTAAGAAGGCAACAGTCGCCCTATACACGTGCAGGAAATCCATTGGTCTGAAATGGGGTATGTCCCCAAATATCGTTCAATGGTTATACACATCTATAGTCAAACCTATACTTTTGTTTGGCGTCGCAGTATGGTGGCCCTGTTTAAAAAAGAAAACCACCCTTTCTAAACTAAACAAGGTTCAGCGTATGGCTGAACTATGCATATCGGGGTCGCTTCGTACCACACCTAGTGAGGCACTTGACGCTATCTTGGACATCCCATGTCTGGAAAGACAAGGAATGGAAAATGCAACACTCACGGCCATAAGACTCAGAGAATCCCTTGCCTGGGCTACTCAGAGCACCGGCCATGCCTCAATCCTAGAAGGGAAGCCGACCATCCCTTCAAAAACAGATAACTGCGTGCCAGTAACACAACGGGATACTCCCTTCAACATATACTTCCCTCAAAGGGAGGAATGGGTTCATGGCACCCCCGGTCCACCGGCGACCATAACCTTCTTTACAGACGGCTCCAAACTAGACAACCGCGTAGGCGGAGGGGTCTACTCCGGTCAGCTCAACATACAGTTATCCTTCAGCCTTCCAACACACTGCAGTGTTTTTCAAGCTGAGATACTGGCCATAAAGGAAGCTATAGACTGCCTAGAAAGGCTCAAAGTTAGCCCTAGCAATATAAACATATATATTGACAGTCAGGCAGCAATCAAATCCATCAGCTCGATATCTTCAAATTCGATATCAGTAACAATCTGTCGCAAATCTCTACACGAGATGGCAAAACAGCATGTTATTAGCCTAATATGGGTCCCTGGCCACCAGGACATTGAAGGCAACTGTAAAGCCGATGAGCTAGCTAGGAAAGGTACTATACTACCACTCCTCGCGGACAAGGAAGGTATAAGTATGCCTCTAGCTACCTGTAAGCTCAACATCAGGCGCAGGTCATGCAGCAAATGGCAAAGTGCCACCTGTTCCCGCATAGCACACCAGACATGGCCAATTATTAACTCTAAGCGCAGCAGAGAGCTATGCAGTCTAAGTCGGACCAACTGTTCTGCAGTGATCCGGGCTCTAACTGGGCACTGGCTGGTCGGCATTCATGCCAACAGACTCCAGGCGCAGAAGCTGCAAAGATGAGGAGGAAGTGGAATCTCCGGAACATTTCTTCTGCCACTGCCCAGCACTTGCTAGGAAAAGGCTGGAAATCCTGGGAAACCACTCCCTAACTGATTTATCGGAGCTCCGACACATGAGACCGGCCAAGATAGCGAAATTCATAAACGCATCCGGCTGGTCAAATGTTTAAATGTTAGAAATGCTTTGGAGGCACGACTGCAGGAGGAAACACCCCCCTAGATCCCCTTTCGGCATCACAACGGGCCAAATATGGCCTAAGTGTGTCAGCCCATCGGGCTGACAGCCGACATAACCTAACCCTAACCTATGTATACCCTTTTTCTTTGAGTCTTATACATATTTTTATTTATTTATATATATATTATTATTTTTTTAGTATAAATGATTAATTGAAAATTGTATCTTAACTGTTATTATTTGTCTTTGTAGGGCATATTTGGATAGCTTTAAGATATGTGTGTTTTGGGCTCTCCCGTATCGTTCCGGTCGCTGTGTGGTTTCAGGTCATTCACGTGTGCTGTCCTTATCTACTTGTCCGTTATACCTGAATCCTTCAGCTGCATTTGACAGGTGGTGCAGTTTCACCCACCGTCTCCGATATTGGGTTTCCATGGTCTGCGACGAATGTTGTAGTGTTTTCATTGGGCATGTGCCGCCTTTTCAAGGCTACGCCGAACAATTTCGAATATTTCCTTTAGCTTCTTTTCATTGTCGGACGGTGCTTGAACTAATTGGCCAGACTGTCACTCGCAGAACAACGCCTTTGGTAGCTTTGGTAGATCTTGAGACGCTGGTGTTGATTGCAAGTGTTAGTTCAGGTAATGCCTAATCCCAACAGTTTTGGTTGTCGTTCGTAAATTGTGCGATCATAGTTTTTAATGTGCGATTCGCGCAATCCGTGGAGTTTTCTTACGGAGTGTAGGGCGCTGTTGTTGTCCAATATCCTATAGGAATTTTTTAAATGTCCTACTCGTAAATTGTGTTCCGTTGTTGGTTATCAATACTTTTGGTACTCCAAACCGTGCCAAAATCCTTTCCCTGAATGCTTCTTGTAGCGTTGCTGTAGTAGCGCTTCTGGGTGGTACCATTTCCGTCCATTTCGAGATGCGGTCTATGTAGGTCAACACATACTGTGCTCTAGGATACCGGATCTGAGTCAGCAATTGTTCGGCCGCGGTCATTTGGCACGGCATATACTGTTGACATATTTCGCATTGTTGGACATATGTTCGTACGTCTCTGTATAAGCTTGGCCAATAGTAGCGTGCTGCTATTCGGGGTATTGCTTACATACACCTGTATGACCTGCGGCGGCGGTGTTTAGGTTTTCTCTTAGGACTTTCCAGGCAGCCTCGGTTCTAGCTCTATACGGGATGTGCCTATATAAGTATCCAACTTCCTGGTATTTTTCGCTATGTCTGTCCGCATCTTTTGGATCCAGCCATAATTGTTGTTTGCCTGGTCCATCGCATCTCTTAGATACGTATCCTTCACAGGTTGTCGGGATAGGGCACCTGCAACCACACTAAAGTTTCTCTTCCAGTGCCCATCTCTCAATCATGCCTGATGGGCTTTTGATGGAGTTCAGCCACTTCAGTGCCATGTGATCCGTAATGACAGTGAAGTGGGTTCCTTCCAAATACGGTATTAGCTTCCTTATGCCACAGATTAGGTTAGGTTAGGGTCAGGTTAGCTTTGACCTTCTCGAAAGCTTCTTGGTGTTCTTCGGTCCATTCCCAATATGTACCGTTTTTCAATAGTGTGATTAATGGATGTACTGTGGTGGCGAAGTTTTGTACGAAACGCCTGTATCTTGATGCCTGGGGGCTTCAATTCGGTGATAGCAGCTACTTTCTCCGGATCCGTGTGTATCCCTTCTTCTTGAAGAAGTCCCACTTGCCCACATTGATCCTCAGATTCGCTGCTCTCAAACGTCTGAATACTTCTCTCAAGTTGTCCATGTGTTCCTCACGTTTTTCCGCTCACATTGATGTTATCCAAATATCCGAAAGCATGCGGCATCATTTCGGGTCTGGTGCCGAATGGAGTCCAAATGGCATTACTTTCCATTGGAACAGTACTTTCCCTGGGACTGTGAATGCTGTCATCACTCGACTCTCCTTTTCCATTGGGATCTGTCAGTACCCACCATTAAGGTGGACTGATATGGTGGACTGTCGGCAGTGGATATGCATCTTTTATCGATTTGCTATATTTATTTATATTTAGTTGCCGAAAGTCCACATAAATTGGCCTAGTTAGAAGATAGTTTTGGCGCCACTGGAACAGGATTTACTGATGGGACCAAAACCAACCATCTAAATATATATTATCAGATTTCACAGATGCCTCCTTGATGATTGGCTTTTACAATTTGACGTAGAATGACACTCTGAGTAGACTCACTGCGTCGCATGTAAAAAGACTTTAAGCCCCAAAACAAGACTGCGCCAAAAGACGGCAATCATGAAGGCGTAGAAGGTCGAATAAAGATTTGTCAGGTCTCGTTCATTTACATTAAATTTGGGGTAATAACTTTACATACCAATAAGTCTGAGCATAAAATGTTAGCCGTAAGCTATGAACATTAAATATACTTAGTCAATTAAAATGATGGGTTAAGTTTTGTAAATGAAGGGGAGGGGGCCAAAAGGTTCTTGGAATAATCTGTGATCTTTGATATTAAAGGGTGGGGCCCCACAGGAAGGGCGGGAGCTGTTACGGCTGTAATAGCGAGGCCACCGTTGGACGTCGAAGTTAACGTATTTTTTTGTTTTAAATAATTGTTGCCACTGTCCTTTAAATCAGCTGTTTAATAGTGATGTGTAGATTTGTTTAGTGTTGTGTTATTGTACAGTCGGCGGGCATGGGTAGACCCACCCCTAATGGGAGTACTGGCTGACCGGAGCTGCCTCCCTAGGACAAACCGACTCGTGACAATGCTTTCATTCCCTATATTCTCACTCTTATATATTAAAAATGTTTTTATGCAACAGTATTAAACTATTTCCTTAATCGAATTATTATATATATTAAACGCTCTAAAACCTATTCTACTCACCAGCCAAAAAAAAAAAAAAAGCATAAAAGCGACAATTAATAAATCTACATATTTTCAAACATTATTCCTTTAGCCTTCCTTTGAATAAATCACACTTTATTTATGAGAAATAGTAAGCGAGCTCCAAAATATTTGCATTTTCCATGTTTTTACTTGTTCTATTAGTAGAATGAATTGCTAAACGAAACGCGTGCGGTGGAAATAAGCCAAAATTTAATAGAGAAATATGTCATCGCTAGTTTTACTATCGATAGATTTCTCCACAATATGTAAAGGTTTTAAAGGCTTTTAATTATATTTCGGCATTAATAAGTATTGTTTCAGAATATTTTTTTTGTTTGTAATACATACTTTTATTTTGATATTTTCCTCAATATAGAAACACAATATGTTTTCCATGTCAAGGGTTTTCCGCAGCAGCATAAAATGTGTAGCGGAACATATTTTACCAAAAACAAATTGTGTTGAATTCTCCCATTTGCAAATTAAAACACAGCGTTTTAATTTTGTAAAGAAGCCAGTGACATTTCAAAGCTCAAAACTGATTACCCATTATAGGGGCATGGGGACATCAATCGCAATAAAACAGGATAATAACAGATTTTACATTGAAATGAACGGAACAGTTGCTGAGTTAAGATACAACGTTGTCGACGGAGTTATGGAAATGATACACACAGAAGTTCCTAAAAAATTGGGCGGACATGGTCTGGGCAAGCTATTGGCTAAGGTATTTGTCCATTACAAATACAAAATGCGTAGAACATCATTCAAAATGTTAAAACAGTTGCCATGCAATCTGGTTGCTAACCAACAAACGACTTATACATATGGATATGCATACATTCGAAGCTCACATATTAAAATATTTTCATACCTAAGTGCATAAGTATGCGGTTCTTGTACATCAGCCGTAAAATAGTTTGTGCTCTTAATTAAGGTTGTACGCTTAAGTAAAATTTAATGTACATGCGATAGAAATTCTATATTTCCATTTAAATATCAATATAAATATCAATCTCAATCTCTTTTCAGGAAGCATTGCATTTTGCAGTACAACATGACCTGCGTCTTAAAATATCTTGTGATTTCGTTGGATATTACATTAACGAACATGAGCCACGTTATCTGAAATATGTCTTTTAATAACTGTGTAATCGATTAATAAATCCAATGACTATAAATATGGACTCTAACGACTATAAGAGCTTAGTACTTTACTATGGAAGACTACGATTTTATAATTCAATGCAGAAAATTGCATTAGACGGATTAGCAAAATTCCCAATACAATCGGAATTTAGATTGTTTAATGGCATTGCACTTGCCTTGGGAAATCGAATGCAGGAGTGTATTCGTGAATTGAACCCACTGAAAAATGAATCGGAATTGGGTTTGGCGGCTACAATGACACTTATATACGCTCACAAACATTGCCGTCTAAAAGATCTCGAAGCATTGCAAGCACTTGAGCATCGAATAGAGGATGGAAATAATACAATCAGCGCCTCTTCATGCTACTATATAGCTGTATTCCTCTTTTTAATTGGCGATTTCGACTCGACTTTCGATTATATAGGAAGGGCTATGAGAATAGATGCAAATTTCGATGCGGCGTTAGTCTTAAAAGCATGGACCGAACTGTCTTCGAGTTCGGATCGGTCTGCCAATGGAAAATTGCAAAACATGCTCGAAGGGTGTATTTCTCGCAGCAATGGAAAGAATATTGACGCCACGCTAGCACTTGTGCGATTCTTTCAAAAACGTCGGCAATTCGAAGCGTCGCTGCTACTGATCAATAAGCTGAGCATACGGTTTCCCGACATAAGTATACCGCTCATTGAGAAAATGGAAACCCAGATGGCTGCACTGGACTGGGATTACTCGCTGGATACTGCCATTCGCGTAATCAATATGGAGCCCTTTAATGTGGCAGCGCTGCGCACTAAGGGATTGTTGCATATTGTAAGGGAAAGCAATTTAAAAGCCGGCACATCTACTCTTCAACAACTACTTATTTCTATAGAGCGCATTGAGCCCGGCAATCATACACTTCTCATTGAAATATGTCAATTATTTTCTCGTATTTGCTCAAGAAATTTGGAATTGCTCCAATTGACTCTGCGATGCGTCGAAAAAGTGATTGATCAGAACCCTGGCAATGTGAGCCTTTTAACCGAATTGGGTCATCAAAAATTACTACTAAATAATGTTGCCGATGCTGAGGTAGCATTTCGTGCTGCTTGTAATATTGATAGCAGCAACTTTGATGCCCTCTGTGGCTTAACTTTGTGCAAACTGAAAACACTTGGAGATGTAGAGAGCATGCCACAGATAAGACAGCAGTTAGCATATCTTACACAACTTACTGATAATAAACCTGAGCCTATGGTTATGTATATGTCGGCTTTGTTGAATGAACCGAAGGAGCCGCAATCTTCGTCAGTGCAGTTGTTGGTGAAAGCAGCTGATCTACATTTAAAAAAATTTAGTGTGTTTCCTTTTGGTGTTGAATACGTATGTGCCATGAATCCGGATTTTATGCTTCTGCTATGTGGGGAACTCATTCGTTACACTCCTGCTCCAATAAGGGAAGCTCACCAGGAACTGGACCTGGGTCATGAATCATTACACATTACCCTCAAGCACAGTCTCAACATACTGGAAATCATATTAAATATATGTCCCGGACATCAAGGGGTATATAATTTTGAATAAAATCTCTGTTATATTAATAGTAATACTACTTTTTCACTTTCGTATAGGCCCTCTTTTTGCGAGCAAAGGTTGATTTTCTATGTGGCGAATATTCAAAGGCCATAAGTCGTCTACAGCAAATTCTTAAATTGTTTGGAGATACTTTCACTGAAGCACATCTACTCTTGGCTCAAATACTAGTAGAGACAAAACAGTATCCCAAGGCATTAGAGTATCTAGAACTGTCTCTGGCACAAACCTTTACAGTCCGTGAACGGCCCATGTACCATCTTCTAAAGGGCATCATACTGAAGCATCAAAATAAACTATCAGAGGCACATCAGTGCTTTCTTTACGCATTGCAGTTACTTGGAGGGATGTCTACAAGTCTCCAGTTCCATGATTTTGTTTCGCAAACTGATAACACTTTATCCAGTTCCGATAAAATGACATTGTACATTGAGCTAATCTATGTTCTTCGCGATATTGGAGATACACAAGGCATTTTCGAAAGCGAACGAATTTTACAATATGCCGCGGAGGAATTTAGTGATACCCCCGAGATTGGTCGTTTAGTTATCGCACACTCGCAGCTAATGCTTGAGAAGTGCAATGTTAGCGAAGCAATAAGTCTGCTCTCCACAATTAAGCCAGACCAACCATACTTTATTCAGGTAAGTTTTTGGAGGTCACCAAACGACTTTTACAGCTCTTATGCTTCTTACTACTTTCTCTTATTTTCATTGTAAGTTACATGTCATATTTTATACAGATATGTTGGACATGTACAACAATATTTGTTCATATATACATGTCTCTAAGTTGGCCAAAAAAAAAGTATCTTACTTTATAAGTAACTTGTGAAAATCGGACTTCTTACTATCTTGGAGAAGGGAAAGCTCTCCACGAAGCGACTGCTTTTTGTCAAATGCAAGAGCACATACTTTAATTATCGGAGTGGATATTTACATAATATGCATAATGCATGTTCTAAGAATTTATGCAATATTTTTGCAGGTTGAGGCATAGAAATTTCTTTATTCCTTTCAAAAATAAAAATAGCAGTTCTCAATTTCGTTTTAACATTTGATTACTTGTGATCCTAGCGATCAGCTGGTATTTTGTTTTAATATGATTGTATACTCATATAGGTAGTCAACTTGAAAAACCGAGTCAATATATTCCGTATATATTCTGCATTTCTGTTTCAATTTTTCTGCCAAGATATTCCGTCCAAAGATTCTAGTGCTATTTATACTTTCAAAATTCTTAGAAGAAAAATTATTAACATCAGTTTTTCATTTCATAAATTGTTTGACAGCGCAATCACATCCTGTACAACTCACAATAAAACAATCTGACGAAATTTGAGATCTCTTAGGAACAAATATTTGATTTCGGGGATTACTAGTTACGCGTGCTATAATATTCCTCTCATATTGCCAAGAAAATTATTGTTGCATATATGTATATATTATATGATCCCCACAATCAGTCAGCTTTAAGATTAATAATTAAATCTACTTGTGGGCAGGTTGTCTCAGGTTAAGCATGTTTTCTTTCTTGTAACTGAAAGCACGGTGGTGCGAATTACCCAACCAAACTCATACTGTTAAGCAAGCTAATAAATATTTTCCATTAATCAAAATATAAATATTTCACTTCCAATATCCACTATAAATAACCGTTAATAAATCATAACTTCAAACAAAAAAAAAACTTTATAAATCATTATTGCCTTTTTACTTCAGGCCAGGACACATTTGGCCAATATTTACCTACGACACCAAAAGGATCGCTCCGCATTCTCCAAGTGCTTTAAGGAATTGGTTGAAGCTCGACCAGAGTCTAAAAGCTTTTTGATGTTAGGAGAGGCGTATCTATCAATTCAAGGTGGGCACTAAATGGATTTTAATAATACATAGCGCTTTATTTCGTTGTTTTTTTTCGTTTTATAGAGACAGACTTGGCCATTGATGCATATAAAAAAGCATGCAATATTTGTCCTTCAAATACACTCTTAATCAGAAAACTTGGAAGAGCTTACGTTAAAAGTCATCACTATGCCAAGGCTTTAAAGTACTACCATGAAGTGATACAAAATCCTGAGTGCAGTGCCTTAAAATTGGATTTGGCCGAGTTATTTTTGCAACTAAAGCAATTTCAGAATGCTGTGAAAATATTAACTGATGGTCATAATGATAAAACGTAAATATATTGACCTTTTGCTTTAATATTTAAAAACACATTCTTTTTTTTTTTTAGTAACGATATCAGCTTTACAGATCTACAACTACGAACAAAGCAACTGTTACTACTGGCTCGTGTCCATGAGAAATCTGGAAACATTCTTGAATCGTTGACAACACTGCAAGATGCTCGGGATAATCAATACCGAGTTCAGAAACTTTGTACTGTGGAGCAATCAGAAAGCCCTTACGAGCAGTCTAAAATGTTATCAAAGTAAGTAGGTGTCATATATTTTGGGAAGATTGTGCAAGATATCTTTAAGGAGACTTCCCGGTAACATTCCAGCAGAATTATGTGACTATAGCTCAAAAACTGCGGAAGATTTACTAACTTTTTTATTTTTTTATGGAGTAGATTGCGAAGACTTGGGTTGGGCGTAGAAATTTATAGAATTTCTGTAGGATGTTCCAGGAATATGTGTTTGAAGTTTTGTGACTAACTTTAAAATTGCCGGAGATATATAGTCTTATCGATTTGCACTTTGAAATATTGGTTTGAAGGCGGGAGTGGGTGTAGTCTTACATTTTTTGCATAGATATAAAATTGGTCTCACACGGACTCGAACGTCACTCACGAAATCAATCCTTCGAAATCAGGCATCTTAAAATATTCAAATGAATTGGTGTTTGCTCATCCATAAGAAAATTTTGTGCGCCCCTGTTTGCAAAGACAATCAAACTTAAAAAGTTCGAACTCGTTCATTGGAATGACAAATGGAATAACAATAATAATTTTGTGAAGGTCAAACAATGTTTGATGATTTAGCATTTTTTTCTCAATATTTAATAGCTTAACTATTACTACTATATTTAACTATACTACAGGGCACAATGAAGCAAATTTTTTGTTTTGTTGTATTTGGCTTGAAAATCTTGTTGCGTATCAGAAATGAAAATGGCTTACTGGTAATTTACTTTTACGACTAACTTGAAGCAGATACTGGGAACCAAAATTTATTTTTAAGCGCGCTGGTATATAGTTTTCCTTGTATTATAGGAGTAATATATTATTACTTGCTCAAATCTTGAATCAAAAACTTTATTTCACCTATAACTGTCATGATTAGTCTATTCTTGAAAATCTATATATTTTTAACGATAAATGAAACATATATTTAGCTTCAGAGCTTTGGAAACTGTGGACTGCACATGTTTGCCAACATATGGTAGAACTGACTTTTTCAGCTTCATTCATCTTAACTATTTGAGAAAAACAAGCAGACCCAGACAATGATTTTTTATTACATGGGAAGGCAACTAACGACTTGTTTCAGCAACTTTTTCACAAAAGTCGTTAACAGTCCCATATGCTCTAGTATTTTTAATGTGGCTCAACCTACTCTCACATTCATATCTCATAAATTAGCGTAATTGCCAACTTTTTGAGAACATTATCTTTTTAGTTGAAATCAAGGTGTCAAGCGGGACTCGGAACCAGAAACGGCCACTTACCGATTGAAATTCAGAATCCGAATCAAAACCTATATTCTAAATTTTTTGAAGCCCCTGGACATATGGACATATAAACATCGTAGCGGGAAATCATTCAAGTCAATCTCCTTACTTAGGTATATGTGTTTATATGTGTCTGTGCTCAAGCTGATATACGAGAGCTTATATTCCAAATTTAAAATCTCTCTGTGTTTTAAGATACTGACAGAACTATATGATTTATCTGTCCGATGTTAATGATGTTCCTGCTCAAATGCAAAAAGGTTGTCTGCAGTTGTCAATGAATTTTCATAGCGAATTGTGAAATCAATTAAAACTTCACACTTCTTTTAAATTGGCCAAGTACAACAAGACAATGTATGCATTAATCTAACAATAAAATTCAATTATTTTTTTATTTGAGACCGTTCAAAGTTTTATTAATTTACAGACCCTTACGATATTTTTCTCCGACAGTAAAATCAGTCATGCCTTTGCCGGCCGTTCCACATGTACCAATGCCGACTCTCCCACTAACATTGTCGGGCGAAGCAAATATACTGTTGACTTTCATGCCAGGTTTCTTTTGATTTTTAGTAGTAAAATTAAGCCATTTATTTTTGTCCGACTCCCGCTCTTCTTCCAAGTCTTTGAAGCGCTGTTGTTTTTTCTGTTTTCGTTTTTTTAAATATTCCTTTTGATTCGGTCGATGACGCCTGCAATGATATACCATATGAAAAAAGAACTTACTCTCAAAAGAAAATGAGTACTGTCATACTTATTAGATGGGAATACTTCATTGCGAGTTGTGCGCTCACGCAATTCACCAAGTATGGTCGTAGAACGGTTCTGGTAGGCATCGAATATAACGCTCACTTCACCTTTACCAGTTATGCCTTCAATGGTTGCATCGTAGTACTGACCATCCTCTGTCCATTTCGCTTGGCATTTGTCACCGATCTTCCAAACCTTAGCGGATGTAACTAGCTTTTCAGCTTCTAAAAGAGCAGCTTCAATTTCGTCAAAGTAATTGGATGAAGCTGTTTTCGAGGAAGATGGCTCTACGTACGAGGATTTGCGCTGTTCTTCCAATTGTGTCTTTATCAAATCTCTTGTGAGCTTAATGACCTCTTCTAGATCGTCTTTCAGTTTTAGAAGTTCTTCATTACTTGGATCTGTTTGTAAAGCGGCTTCCACCTGCACAAAAAGGACAAAACAAATGAGTAAAAAGCACAATAGGGTATCCGTCAAATATCTGTCAAATCTACGAAATTACCAAAGTGTGCATTATATAAGAAAACCTGTTACTTTCCACCAAACTCCCGTTTTGGAGAAATTGCAAGTTGCTATTTGGGATGTCAACAACTCAAAATTGTATCAAAAATATTTTGCAACCCTTTTTATTTATCACTCTATGGAAATTAGCGTCTCTAAAAATATAATTTATCTATTCCCCTGTAATCATACGCAAAGTGAATATAGAGTAAATAATTACGCACAAATGCACAATTGTAAGCAGACTAATAAACATACGCACAAATCCGCATACATATATACATATAGCGTATATGTATATGCATACATTTTTATCACAAAATTGAGTAAGCAAAACAAAAGAATTTGTATCCATGCAGGAATCTATTGTGTGCGCTCTTATTAATACTCACTTGCTGTAATTGGCATTTGTAGTTTTGTAATTCGTCTGCCATTGCAGCAAGTATTTGGCTTGAATAAAATTAACTTATTTTTAGTTTTAGGAACGCTATTCTATAATGCGTTCATTCAATAGTTGAGCTGGAGAACAATCGATAGCAATATCGATAGTTTTTGCTTATCACAAAAATACATTTTATTTAGCACTGTCGATTATCTACCATCCACAATGCTCATATTTGTTGACAGTACTGCCATTTTAGCTTTTTTTAAATTAAAGTTAGCTGGATGAGTTAGCAAACAGATAAAGCTTATTTGGCGATAATCCATATCGCTATCATGTTAAAATATTATAAAATAATTTTCCTTATTTTTATCAAAATGACTTAACAATTTCTATATTTTTCAGTCAATTAATTTGTTTTCTGTGAAAAATGGTTAAATAAAGTCAAATTTGTCGCGAAAAATCCGTCTAGATGACACCGATTGATAATTGTTTAACTAATAATAGCATGAAGCTAAAATCGCTTGCTTTTAAATAAAATTATTTAGCATCTCTAAAATAACAGTTCCAAATAACTTGACACAGTATGAAAATTGGTTATTACTCCATCAGTTAGGGATGTTCCTAAATCATTTTGTTGCACTCAACATACTGGCAGTATTTTTCGGCCCACCACTAATAATAATTGACATTCACTGCGAAAATGAACACAAACACAGTGCAAAGAATTCAAATTATATTTTGAAAATGTCCGACAGTCGCGATAAATAATAATGTAATCTTATCGTATTCAATATTATTAATATTATTGTATTTGATTATATAATTATTTTAAATTAACATTATTTTTGGACACAAGGAGTCACATTGACTAGATTTCTCCAGATTTTAAACAACATAGTGAATATTATTAAAACAAGGTGGCTTTAGTTATTGCGTGAGAACAGACAAACTTAACACCAAACCTCATTTCATACTACTTCAACTAACAACTGTGGCTGATGTAGATACAGATGTTGCCTATGTGAAGAGTGTTTCACATCTTTGAAAAATTCCCATTGGTTCCGGAAGATTTTAGCATGTAAGGTTCATCACACAGAGCGTCATCAACTGGAGCGCGTGCGATTTTTTCAATGATGTGAAAATCTTTTACTATGTCTCACAACATTTATTATTTCCTTACTTTACTTTTTCTCCAGTAGCACACTATCATCGTCACAAAGATTTGGATGCATTATATTGACTTCCTTCAGTGAACTTACACTTGAAATCATTACGTTACGTCATGTATTACTGTTGTAAGATAATGGGAGCCTTTAGATCGCCTGTCAACTTAGCGTTTTCCGTTTTTCTCACATGACAAATGCAATTTTCTCGCCCAAGCTTCATTTGCAGTTCGTTTCCTCCACTGTGATACTGTGATTCAGTTTCTACTCAATTTCCTAACACTATTTAAAAACTGAACATAAAATTAGTCCAGGCAGTTGCTTTTATGAATTTTGCAATTGTAGTCCTTATTCCGCTAACTACGATAGATTCAGGGGTGTTAAATCTTTTCCTGGGAAGTGACATTCAGGAGCAAAACCAGTTTTCAGCAGATCATTATTCTTCCTCTTTATCGTTTCTGCAAAAATCATTATAAGGCGCCTGGAATATGTTAGCATGAGTGTCAAAAAGCCAATGCCTGGTTAAGGTGTATTTTGCCATCTATGGCTAGACATGCGTCTGTTTTGCTCTTTTACATTTTGCTTGCAGATGGCTTATCTTATCTGGAAGTAGCGGTACAGTAGTGCCTTTTCTGGCTCAGCTATATAGTTGTCCTCAATATCTTGATAACCCCCATATCAGCCCATATCATCACTAGTCTTGCAATTTCGTGCAGAGATTTGCAATAGCTTGTTACCGATTTCTAATTTCTAATCGATTTCATTGCCGCTTCATAATCAATATAGATATTGATATTTTTTGGGTTGACTTTCGACCTCTTTAGACAAGTCAGTGCTTTACTTATGGCTAGTATTTTCGCTTAGAAAACACTGCAAGGCTTTGGATGACTGAAGGTTCATTGTATATCTGACTGCTCAGAGTCAGCCTACACGTTTGTTTAGCTTTGAGTCATCTGTGAAGAAAACTAACGCTGCCGGTGCTTCGGGCGTGACTTGAGTCCATTCCGCTGTTTGGGGAATTTAAGTAAGTAGTAAGATGTTCTACTGGCACACAGTAGTCTGTTTTTTAAAGGAGTGTAGTATTATCTGCCAGAATGGATGAGTGACCTTTATAAAGTGGCTTATCATCAGATCACATAGAGCTTGGGGATCATTTTCAATGAAGATTACCGCAACATCATCCCGTAGCCGATAACTTGCTTCCATAGAAGAAATGATAGGAGGTGTTCCTCTGCTAACGTACCTGGAGAGAGATTTCAGTGAGGTTCTCACAATCCGGTGAGTAAGCAATTGATTGACCTTAACCTTCAGGTATACCAAAGCTCCAGTTATCGCTTCCGGAATGACGTTGTCGAAGGATTATTTAATATCTATGAAAGATATTATGTTATATTCCGTGGAGAGTAGAGTCTTCTATTTATGTAACTACAACTACAATGTCAGACTTATTAGTCGATATAAAAGTCAGTATAAAATCTTTAACGCTGGTATAGGATGGTCAGTCAGCTTTGGGAATAAAAGTGATTATTGACTGAAACCAAATGGGATTTGGCCAACCTTAAGAATCTTCCTTAAAATTGTATATAGCTTAAAATTGTATAGCTGTTACAGTATTTGGTTTATTTTGTCTGCGCTTTGTGACTTAAAGAGAGACAAAAGAGAGAGAGATCACTCTTTATATCGAGAGCTGGTTGTCCTGCGCTGTTATAGGCCATTTACGCCGGTAGTAGATGTACTGGAGCTGACTGAAGCTCTAGGGTCACTACCGTGTTGTTGCCATGCAGGTTTATATATTACCTTCCTTTAGATCTGATATGAGCTTGTAGTTATAACTTCATAGTTTTCCAACCTTGTCTCCGACTACCCAAGGTTCTTGGACTGATATATCAAGTCCGCCACCAACCAGGCATAGCATTTGAGCAGCCGATGCTGCCTTACAGTAGTGAAGATTTATCTGCAGAACAATCAAGGACAAGTGGACATCTTACCCCCACCACCGTTAAATTGCTGTCTTCCTCTTCTAGCATCGATAAATTCTCCTTGTCGATCTCGCGACACACAGGCTAGAGACCCCGTGCCAACGACGGCGTATCGGATGCATAACCAAGCGCCGGCTCATCGGCTACCTCAATCTCCGGAGATGGATGCTGTTCGGTTGGCTTGTCGATAGAGTCTCCTCCGGATGGTGCATGCGAATTGTACAGCTTTATGGTCACTGAGCTGATGCTGAAATTCAGCTGCCGCTTAGCGAAGATCCAAATGCGAACGCGGAGTTTTCTTGAGACTTCGCTTCAGACAGCGACCTGCCGTCTTGGCCACTGGTCCAGACGTCTCTGGGATGCTTTTGGCCCCAACTGTGAGATCAGCTGCTTCAGTGCTCTGCTCCCCTCCCAAGATGGAAGTGGCAGGATACTTGCGAACTACCCCAGCGCTACTAGCTTTGTAAACATGTTCTGACTGCTTTTGCTGATTTGGAGCTTTGGCCAGGCTTTGAAGCAACTGCCTTCGCGGTTTTATCGGGACTACTCCCTTCCGGTTTTGTGCGAGTACCGGGCGCCTTCGGTTTTTTTTTTTTTTTTTTGTATTTATTAAAATTTATGAGATTTCCATTAGAATGAGCTCCACCTGCAAGATATCCGCGATATGCAGTTAGGGCTTTACATACTAGAGGTCACCGGTTACCCGTATCACAGTAATGCTCCGTGGGAGATTCGCTATTTGCGGGCCTTCAGACAGGCTGGCTATCAATGCGGATCGCATTACACCTTAGCCTTGCGCGATACCTCGAACCATGACTTAAAACCTTACCAGTTCATGACTATGAGAGAGACCTTGACTTAGGTTCAGGATACATATAATGCTAGCATCCGTATTTTGTGGACCACTGTGATGCCATTACAAGCCGGCGCCATCATCAACTGAACCCAGTTGAGAATTTGCAAACTATGCTGGTCTTTGATTTGGTACTACTCTTTTCACACAGTCTCATTATTTGTAACCAAATTCGTTGCACTTGATGCATTTCTTTGCAATATGTAATTGTTACACTCATTCAAGCGAATTGGAGTGATGAAATAAGAGTGATGCTTGTTTGTGGAGTATATCAATCTTTGTCAATCGTTACTTGGACCGCTTTGCAAGCGTACTGGCTTTGCTGCTGACTGGCATAAGAAAAATTGACTCTGGAGTGTTGCACACAATTACAATTACCTCGAAATCCCCATTGTTTTCCACTTGTTCGGTATTTGTTCTTGTTACTCCGCGACCGCCCTCTTGACATTTCCGTACTCTTTTGCTCGGTATCGAATCTTTCTCAAACAGCCCAATCTTAGTCTTCCCATTGTCGACTAGACCACATTATATGAACATAAACACACATTAATATAATATTTTCATATTTTCATGCAGTTAACTAATTTCAATTGCATAACATTCTTTTCGCAGAATATGTATTCTAATCGCGCAACAGGCAGTTAAAATGAAAAACACCGAACTAGCATTTGAACATTTCAAGGAATGTATTAAATATACTCCAAATGATATTGAGATATTGGTCTCTCTGGCTCAACTCCAAATGCAGTCGAAGGAAATGGATATGTGTCGTAATACTTGTTTACAGGTTCTTCAAATTGATAGCAGTAATGATGCAGCCTTAGTGTTGATGGCAGACTTGTCTTTTAGAAAGGTATGTATATAATTATAGTAGAAATATGAACCTTTTTAAAGTTTGTACAAAGACAAGTGGGCTGCTTTATTCTGATACCTGAATACAGATGGAAAAGAAGATACCTTTCAAAATTTGATTTTGGGAAATTGATATCACCAGCCGAGTCGATGTAGACATGTCCGTCTGTCCGCGTGTTCGTCTGCGTTATCTCTGTATTTACACATAAATCCTTCAGTTTAAAAACTATTAATGAATCTCGGAATACGACGGAACAGATCTCAGATCGCTTAAAGATAATTTTGACGCCTGCTGATAAGATCAATTGAAAAACGGTAGAACATTGAGCACATGTCACAGCTAAACATGAAACAGGGAACACATACATATATAAATAAACAATGCTTTTTCATGTATTTCATCTTTTACTGAACGGAAAACTTGTGACAATTCCAGAGTGTATTAAATAATAAAGAATGGTTGCTTTCATTATTTGCAAAGATTGGGAAGGAGGTTCGTGGTTTTAAGTCTAACTATTAAATTTGATTTTTTCCATTTTGCAGGGTTACAAGCATTTTTATGCCTAGCTCTAAAATTGTACAATGTATGATTTTCAAGATCAGGTAAACCGTAGCAACCCATTTTGCAAATTTACATTTAATAGGATTACATTACATTGAAGAGTTACCGGTAATAAACTTTCGTGGTCGATGCCGACCCTTGAAGGACATCGCCAACCAATTTAGTGACTAGCTTTATAATTGTAGGAGATATGTTTTATCGAGTTGATATTATCGATTTGATCGATTTCCAAATAAAGTGTTAATATTTTTTATATCATTAAATCAAGTGCAGATAGATGTCTTAATTAATATACAGAGTGTATATTAATTGTAATATATATTTATAAATATATTATAAAATTAAATTAATTTTATTTTTAATTTTAGATGGAATTTAAAAATGCAGCGTACCATTTTTCACAGCTCATATTATCTCAGCCTTGCAATTGGACAGCTTTGGCCCGTCTAATTGAAGTTATGAGGCGTTCCGGTACTTTGTCTGAGAGTTTACCCTTTTTACAACGAGCTGAACAGTCATCTATAAAGTCAAAGAACTCTCCAGGGTTCAATTACTGCAAGGGTTTATTCGAATGGTATAACGGAAATCTTAACTGCGCGTTGCGATATTTTAATCTATCTCGCAGAGATCATGTGTGGGGTCAGCAAGCTAAACTCAATATGATTGAGATATGCATTAATCCAGACGATGAAATACCGAGCGCAAATGATCTATTTGAGGCTGGAGACATTGGAGAGCTTAGTGAATCCCGTATAATTGCTCTGCGAACAGCCGATCGTTTGCTCAAGGAAATGCGTCCTCGATCTGGAGAAATCTATGAAACTGCATTAAATCGCCGAGTTCTTTGGAATTTTCTACAAATGGCGTCGAAACAAAAGCTTCAAGTTGAATCAGCACTAAAAGATCTGACTGAGCTTATGCAGAATGAAGGAAGCCCATTAACGATTACTGTTGTGTACGCTATAGCCTTGGCTTTAGTTCAGCTAAAGCAACTTCAGCGAGCAAAAAATCAACTCAAACGTGTAGCTCGACTTAATTGGAATTATGAGGAAGCTGAGTATTTAGAGCGAAGCTGGTTGCTACTTGCTGATATTTATATTCATGCCAATAAATTGGATGCTGCCGAGACATTTGTGGAGCGTGTTTTGGAATATAATAAATCAAGCACAAAAGCTTACGAACTGGCTGGATATATTGCAGAAAAGTTGCAGTCCTACAGCGATGCCACCGAACAATATCAAAAGGCCTGGGAAAGCTGTGGCCGTTCTAGACCACATATTGGTTACAAATTAGCATTGAGCAATATGAAGAAAAAGAATTATGCGAGCGCTGTTAATGTTTGCCAACAAGTTTTAAAATTACACCCAGACTATAACATCATTCGTAAGGATATACTTGAGAAATGCCGCAATAATTTAAGAACATAAATGCACAGCGGCAGAAGCGCTTGGCAGCCGAACGGCTTCTTTAGGTTTAGATATAATTTCATACAGCACTTCACGTTTCAAATAAATAACACATCTTATTACTGATATTTATTTAGAGATTTCGATCGTGAAAGGAAATTAATTGAAATTAAATTAATGGGTTGCTGTTCCTCGTTATGCACTGGAAATAGGGCAGAGAGGAACTTGATCTATGAAACTTTTTTGTTTGTTTGTCATGTGCTCTGTCCATACCTTTATGTTATTTACTGCCTGTGTTTCTAGTTGTCTTATTTTAATCTTATAATTTCCGTCGATAATTAATGCTTCGTTCTTGACGTCAATCACAGCGTTCAGCTGTTTGAAGGTATCGTTACCTAGGATACCATGGAAGGTTTTTAAAATCGGTAGCAAGAAAAATTTGATTGCTCTATTTCTTTGACCGAATAAACTAAGGAAAGTTTGGTGGGATATTTTTGTTTGTCCACCAACGGACATTGCATTAAATGCTTTTTGGTTTGGTCTCGAATTTGGAACTAAACTTGGTTGGATGTAATTTGATTTGAGCCTGTGTCTATTAGAAAATTCAATGGGTTGCCGTTCCTCGGCAGAGAGGAAATATTTAATCTAAAAAATGAATCTCGGAAGCATCGACCGTTGTTGGTTGGTATTCATAGTTAATTCCGTTCTTCCTCATCAGGTAGCGCGTAGGCTCCTTCCAGTTTGACAGCTTCGAAATAAACTTGTTCATCGTTTTACATGTCGTAAGGGTTTGGTTGTTCAGCCCCTCCTTCTGATGATTCGGTTGCGATATGGAACTGTCGTTGAATTTTTGGAGGTTGACTGCTAGGTGCGTTGATGGGATGTTTGCCAGCGAAGTCATTGGTCCTTGGCTTGTTCATGTAGTTAACGTTTTTGGTTCTGATGGAGTTATCTATCGCTATTGGTACAGGTTTGGGTCTGGTTTTGGAAAAAATGGGTGCGTAGGCGTTTGGTATCCCTGCCTAGGATTCAAAATTTGTTTCGGCAGTTTGTATTGGCCCTGGAATGGTTGAGGGTATTGTTTATGCTTTTGCGCCATCTGATGATTCGTATTTGGTTTAGGAATGTGATATAAGTTTGGGCCGAAATTCCTCAATTGTACAGAGTTATTGGTTTGAGGCTATTTATGTAATGGATTATGATTTCTGACGGTAAAGGTTGTTGGTGTTTGCTGTCTTAATTTGGGTAAGAAAGCATTTCTATATTCTTGGTTCTCCACCAAGTTACACAGATGCAAGGTATGGCTCAGGTCCCTTGGCTCTTTGATTGCTAAGAGTCTAGGTAGGTCTCCATTTAAACCTCTCACGAACGTATCTAAGGCTTTACCTCGATAATTATTCGTCAAAGCCCTAATTTCCTCTGGTGTGTCTTCTTGTACGCTTATTTGGTTAAGGATAAGAGATAATTGATGATATACCATCTGGTAGAATTCTTGAACGGACAGTCGTCCCTGAGTTAAATAAAACATTTGGTATTCGAGAGTTTTTAAGTTTCTTGGAAATTGCTTTCCAGTTCATGGGAGTATTATAGGATTTGAGCACTGCATCGGCTTCTCCTATTATTTTGTTTCGGATTGATAGAGTTATTAAATAATATTTGTAGGTTTCTTCTTGGTTATTATTCTTTCTACATTTTTTTTCCAAGAACAGAATGTGATCCGGTCCTCGGAAAAATCTCTAATCAACCGCGTTAATTCGGGAACCTTTTCCTGCGGGAAGACTCGGACTAGTAAATGGAATATCATTAAGACAATCGCTACCTTCGGTATTTATTGCTTGCCTTATTATATAACCACCCTGGAGAGTTTCTTTTATCAGGCATACAATAATATCTTTCAGGCTTTGGTTTGCATAGGCTGCGTTGCCTGATTGGGTATTTCTTTGGGAGCTGGTACTGGCTGCTCCCAGCTTCAAGTTTGCTAGGGATTCGGACAATTCGTTTGACTGGATTTTGTAATGTTGTCTTTTACGAATTAAGGTAAATTTATATTCGGACCACTTTTAAGAATTTTTTAATTTTTACATTGATAATATTTTTCGGAAGTTGTTTAGTAATTAAGAATGATTTTTTGAAAACTTGTTACTTAATCTATAGTTGCTGTTTTTAAAAAAAAATTATTATTATTCTTTGTTTGAAATTTTCTGAGTCTTAATTTACTTATTTATTTTTCTCTTTTTTGTTAATTTTAATATCTTTGAACCTTATTTTCTTATTTAATATTTTTTTCTCTTTTTGTTTTCTTAATTTCTATTTTTTCTTTTTTGAATCATAATTTTTATTTAGTTTTTCTTTTTTATTTTATTAATTATTATTTTTTGAATCTTAATTTAAAAATTTTTTTTCTTTTTTTATTTTTTTAGTTTTTCTATCTTTGAATCTCCGATTTTTTCTTAGTTACTATGCTTAAAGGATAATCAGCATTCCTGCGAATCTCCTGCGATGATCCTTTGGAATTGATTCTTTTTGTCCCACAACGATTTCGAGTCGAGATGGGTGACTCAGGTTCCTCTGGATACTTCACTCACGGTACCCTGCGGACGGGTTGTCAGCGGTGTTGTTGTGGCACCGGTACGGATTATTATTAGGGGGGAAGCTGCACCGCGACCTATTTGATCTATTGTGCCCCCCTTCTGAGCCTATAGCTCTTCCATCAGCCCTAACTCCCTTACGAACGTGAGGATCTTTGTTGGGTTGAGGTCTACTAAGTCTTTGTAATTCAAAACATGCGCCCCTAGGATGCTGCTTCTTCTTCTAATTAAGGCGACACATTCTACCAGGATGTGCATCGAGGATTCCTCCTCTCTTTCACAAAACCTGCAGAGATCGCTACTATATATACCCAATTTTGTCAGGTGACTCCTTAGTCTACAGTGTCCTGTCAATAGACCGGTAAGTATCCTAAGGTTGTTCTTTCCCATGGTTATAATCTGTTTAAAACGTACAAGATTATAACCACCAAAGAGGCATCTGGCTTGTCGGAGTCCTACTGCCTCTGACCAGCTCTGATGCCGTCTCTGTCTCTCCTCGTTTCTAAGTTCCAGTCGTATAGTGTGTCTCCCTATGCCACAATACGGTTCTGGTCCTGTTAGGGGCCTTTCTGCCCCCATTCTTGCTTGCTTGTCAGCCGCCTCGTTTCCCGCTATGTCCCTGTGACCCGGGACCCATCGTAGGGTGAGCCTGTTGTGAGTCCCGAGCAGGTCTAGCTTTGAACGAACTTCATGGACTACCTTCGATGTTATCTTAGTCCCCATTATAGCTTTCAATGCTGCTTGACTATCGGATAGGATGGATATATCCGTATTCCGATAGTTACGTTCTATGTTGATGTCCGCACATCTCCCTATCGCACACACCTCAGCTTGAAATATGCTGGTGTGCGTTCCCAGGGATTCATGGTAAAATACCCGAGGACCCACCACTCCAAGGCCGGTGCCCTGGTTCGTGAGTGATCCATCGGTGTACCATTTTATGGTGTGCGGTTTCATGGGATGGACTTCATCCAGAGTTGTCCATTCCCTTTTACTACTCATACGAACTGTGAAATTTCGCTCGAATATGTATTCGGCTGCCATTTCGTCCCTAGGTTGCGTCAGTAGGGGTAGTTCGTTTGAAAGGAGTTGGGCATCTTTATGGTTTAGGATATGATTGCCCCCAACTCCTTCTGCTGATATCCTGAGAAGCGTAGCTTTCTGCTTGAGCCTTATGATATGGTGGAGTGCTGTGAGCTCCATTAAGGCTTCAAGGGCCATTGTAGGGCAGGTGCGCATAGCTCCTGTCATACATACGCAGGCCATTCTTTGCAACTTTTGGAGTTGTTTCTTCACGGTGATCATCCGCGCCCTGTCACCCCATGCAACCACCTCATAGGTTAACATGGGTCTTACTACCATCAGGTACAGCCATCTTAATATCTTTGGTAATGTACCCCATGATTTGCCGGCAATACTACGACATGTATAAAGCGCCCTGGAGCACTTTAATATCGTGTTTTGCACATGGGTGCCAAAGTTAAGTCTGCTGTCAAAAGTGACTCCCAGGTATTTGACCTCCCTACTTGTTTCTAGTATGGTCCCTGAGAGCCATATTTGTCTCATCCTCTGTAACTTATGTCGTCTGGTAAACCAACCAACCTCCCTACACCAGTCATACGTTATCCTTATCCCTGACTGGACTATGTCACAGAGTGATTCTTCAAATTTGCCTCGCGCTATGATAACAATGTCATCGGCATAACCTTGACATTGAATACCACTGTTGGCAAGTCTGTTTAGTAGTTCGTCTACTAACAGACTCCAGAGTAGCGGAGACAACACCCCCCTTTAGGGACAGCCTTTGGTGGTTAGGACTGTTACAGTGCTATCATGTAATGATGCCGTGGCTTGTCTGGACCGTAGCAGTGCCAATATCCATCTGCTGGTGGTATGGTCCAGGCCTCTTTTTTCAAGAGTAGCATTGATAAGAAGGCGCACAGTGCTACTTCCTTATTATCAATTGCCGTACTCAAAGTACGTCGCAGCTGATAAAGTGCTGTGTCCGTGGACCTGCCTACTCTGTATGCATGCTGCGTTGGGTGCAGCGGCCTTTGCTTAAGCAAAGTGCTTCTGATTTTATAGTCCACCAGCTTTTCCAACGTTTTCAGTAAAAACGATATTAAGCTGATGGGTCTGAAGGACTTTGGGCTGGTAATGTCTTTCTTCCCTGCCTTGGGGATGAAGACTACCCTAGCTCTTCTCCATGCGCCCGGTATGTATCCGAGGGCTAGGCTACTTACTAATGCTTTCCTAATAAGGGAGAGAAGTATTTCCTGTCCCGTTTGAAGGAAGGCTGGCGATATGCCGTCCATTCCAGGGGACTTATAGGGTTGGAATGTTCCAACTGCCCAATTAAGTCTCTCCCTTGAGACTGTCGACTTGGCGCATGCCCAGTCGTCAGTTGACGGCCTGTATCTACTTTCCCTCTCGATAGCCTCTTCCTGCAGGGGTATACTTCCTGGGAAGTGTGTCTCGAAGAGTAATGCTAGTTTCTGCAGATCAGTGCTCGGAAAGGAGTTATCCCCACGCTTCAGT